CTCTCTTCTTCTATATCTGACCAATTTGTGAGTATTTCCTCCGCCTCCATTTCCTACCCGAGCAGGAGAGATCGCGGGTGCTCACTGCGCACGCGCGATCAAGGTTGCCGCTGCCCAGTGAACCTATGAACGCTGTGCTAGCTAGCAGTAGCTCCTAGGTGAACACAGCCGACTGTTTAATGGCGGATACGGGTGTTTCATTTACGGATTACGCGTAGCAGACGCTAACGTCAGGAACGCTGGCGCGCGCCGCAATTTTTCTTAGCAACGGCCCATGACAACGTAAGAGGTACGATCTTTGCTCTGCGCTGTCGCGTCGTACAAGCGCTTCAGATCGTGAGGGAAAGCGCGAGCGGAACGGTGAGGTTCTGCTCTACACAACGGTACCACACTTGCCCGGCTTCGGTTCGCGTACTGGCGCTCTGCGATGGATCTTACATCCACTCGCGTGCTTCGTCTTTGTCCTGCGCAGAGGACCTTTAGCCAAATTAATATCTGCATGAAACCTTAAGGTGAGATGCCTAGAACTATTTTTTGCGCGACATACTCGACCGTTGCCTGACCGAACTATTGTACACACTGTAGAGTACCGGTGGTGGCTGTTTGCCCGCAGTTCACGAAAGATGGGGGTCAGTCGAGGGATGCAAGTCCCCCAGAATGAAAGAATTAACTATTCAGTCGGCACTTTACACGGTCAGAAACTATCTGTGTCCTCGACAGCTAGCTCAGTCCTTATCTCCCTTCATTCGCTTTTTGACTGGTAAAGCGACATTGGTGGGGCAAACTTGTCTCCAGTGCTCAGAAACCACACACTTCAGTCGCTCCATACAGTTGCCAGGGGCGGAGCTATGTGGTTTCCTACGTAGCAACTTTTGGCAGTATATACAGCACAGATTTTACCACGTTTACAGCCTGTGTAATGTTTATTTTCTTATATGAATATCTGTTCCAGAACCACACACTTCAGTCGCTCCACAAAGTTGCCAGGGGCGTAGCTATGTGGTTTCCTACGTAGCAACTTTTGGCAGTATATACAGCACCGATTTTACCACGTTTACAGCCTGTGTAATGTTTATTTAATTATTTTGTCTTATATGAATATCTGTTCCATTACCTTCAAGCATCTGTGTGCACTGTTACCAGTAAAGGTGCCACCATAATACGCCTCTCTGTGCACGTACATTGACCCTAGTTCCTGTTCCAGGGAACGAATGAAGGCACCATGATGCACAGGGAACCCTTTGTTGCAGTTGGCTGTGACTTCGTTGATCTCTCTCCCTGTGGACACAAAAACATCTTCCTTTGCCTTGCACCACCCATCGAACATTTTCTCACGATTTCATCCAATTTCCTAGCCGATGACAGTGCCTCTTCCTAGAGCATCTGCACTAGAGGGTGTGACTCAGCATCAGGGATCTGGATTGCAAGGTCTGCAAGTCCAGAATTGAGAGCCGATGTCAGCTCTAGCAGCCGTGTCTTCTTCTCATTGAGCTCAGCAAGCTGTTTCACTAGAGCTGAGTAGTGTTGGAAAGACTTCCTGTCAGTGGATCTCAGAGAAGTGTGAGTGGGCAGTTCGAGATACAACTCATGGTAAGCTGTCTCAAGCAGGGTCCACAACCGGTAGAATATACCCAGCATTATGTGAAGCCCTGGCGGACAAACCTGGCATACATTGAGTATTTTAAGTGTTCTATGTGCATTACTTAGGTTGCAGTTGTAACCTGCGTCAAGGAATTTTGAAGAAATACTGGCCAATGACATTGTTGAAATTCTTCGCCTGTTTCAGATTTCCCTGTCCAGCTGTTTGGAAGAGGAGGAGGTCTGCCTGTAGTGAATCCAAGGTACGTGGTGAAACTGCTGGACGCTCCTCTCTGGGAAGCTTCATTTGTTCCGAGTTTATGTTACACCATATAAACAGGGATGCCATCTTAAAATACACATGTACATAATACCCAAGGAATCATAGCTATACTGTATGATTTGTACCTCGTGCACCTGAAATCCAGTACATTTTACTCAGGAACTCATAGTCTCCTGACATGAATAGACGGACCTCCTTCCCCCCTAACCGCTGTCACCGAGTAAAGTAAGTGTATAATGGTAAGCTAACCTCCACTGTGTTGCTACAATTCAAACTGGGGAATGTAGCGGTCAAGGGCAACATGGAGGTTACTGACGGTGTCTCTGCCCTCAAACACAACATAAATGCAAGTTTTTTGGACAGAGGTAGGACTGGGAACATTGCAGATCTGAAATACAAGCTTCACTGTGTCTGCACCTTTGTCCCCTGCAACCTTTACCCACACCTCTGACTCAGGAATAAGACCGTTGTGCCAAGTCAACCATCCGGAACTATACACATGTACATTTAGCCTTTTCACGAAAGGACTGAGGAATTCATTAGCTCACAATTGAACGTGACGCAACTCCCAGGGTACATTCCTCCGCCATTTTGTTCACGTTTTCTATGCAGGTCAATGGAGATGATGTCACTTTTCCAAGCGCCGTAGTTAGCTTACTGTACGCTTCTATTTATCGAAGAGATACTCTTGGTTGGCTAGCACATGTTTCAAAGTTTTTTTGAATATCCTATAAATATTCTTCAAAATAAAATTCTACACACACAGTGTTGTTGAACTAGTGTCCAACAATCCGAGATGGCTGTGCCCTGGTCTCTGTTTACTAGTGTTTGTGGGTTTGCTAGCATGATGAGTAGGGCTTCTTTGATGCGCAGAACATGTTTGTTGTTGTCCTGATCCAGGATGGATGTCTCATCCCACTGTGGTTGGTGTTGGTGGCTGGACACCAGTTCAACACTGTGGTTCAAGAACACAGCTCCAATCTAGACCCAGAACTGTATAAATAAGTCGTATCACTAGATTTCATTCACTCTGATGAAGGCTGAGCCTATTTTTATGGTTGGAAATTTTTTTTTGAAGAATATTCATAGGATATTCCAAAATTTTTTGAACTTGTGCTATTGAATGGTCCATATTGTGTGTGGTAGGGTTGTACGACTTGGGAGATACGCGCTTGGAAAGACGGTGGGTATAAGAGCTGCTAAGGTCTATACTGCTAGTGAAGTGGCCGTTTCTGTGCCTGACTTACGTAGCTAAGCTCTGTGAAGGCTGGGAATCTGTCTATATTGCTATGGCTTGTGTTTATGGCTAGCAATCTCTTACAAGTGGCTCAGGATCCCGACATTATACCCACCGTCTTTCCCAGCGCGTATCTCCTTAGCCATTAACACAAGCCATAGCAATATAGACAGATTCCCAGCCTTCACAGGGCTTAGCTACGGTGTACCCTGGAAGTTGCGTCACGTTCAATTATGAGCTAATGAATTCCTCAGTCCTTTACGTGAAAAGGGCTATTGGTTGGTGCACTCTCAGAGTTAACCTGTCATTCTGCTCTAATAGCTGGAGTATTTTCCCCACCAGATCAGGTACACAGGTCTACCCCAAACCGAAGTTGTTGGGAGAGTGGCACCTCGGTTGCAGCCAGGTTGTCTCCAATCATCTCCTGTGACAGCCTGTGTACACTTCTCTCACTAGCCAGCTTTATACCCTGTGCTTTTATCCACCTTGGTTAAGGCAATATTAACTTGGGTGTGCCATCATCTTTTGTGTTATACCTACCTGCGCATTATTCTTTTTACGATGTTGGCAGCTACCTTTTGCTCAACTACAGTTGGAGGTGACTGGAGTGGACGGGAGAGAATCTGCTTCATCGTGCGCTTGGATGGTAAAAATGACGCGGTGTGTGTTTCGCAGCCAGAATTCATGTGCTCTGCTATGTGCTTGAGATTCATGACCGCTGTACAAGAGGATTTGTCGCAACATATCAAGAGGGCTCCTAAAACTTTCAGAACAACCTCTGAAGCTGGGACAAACAGCGTGGGGGAGAATTCATGACGTTCCTCACAGCATGGGCACTGAATACTTAACTCGGCATTGCTACTAACTCACTCGGCGCATACCGTGTCTTGACAGGTCGATCTACAATGCATTTGCACACTTTGCACTGAAAGTCGTGCAAGGAGAGAGAAGAAGCCGGTGGGAGAAATCGAAAGAGAGAGAGAGAGGCTGCACTGCAAGCCAACTTGTGGGGGAAGTTTTTAGAACAGTGTTGGCTATTCCCTTCCCGCTGTCGACTTTTGGTCTCCCTCGATTCTTTTTTTCTCTGCTTTCCCTTTGCATACCCAGCAGAGAGTTTCAGCCCACTACTGCCATTGACACTTGCCATTAATGAGACTATGCACCTCTGGGGGAATGGATGTTATCCACAGGAAAAATTTTTTCTAATAACTAAATACTGTTCATTGTGTTACCACTGTTGCAGTAAACTTACTTATCTTGAAAAATTGTGTGCTGGCCTTGACAGGTGCATGCGTAAACTGCACAGACATTTTGGGCGTTGCTAAGGAAATGATATCCAAGCGCAGTAGAGTTACGCGGTTACTACGCTATGCGCGTTATCGGAAATATGATCCTGTGCCTTTCTCTGCAAGTTCCATAACTGAATTCCTAAGTATATGTAAACAAACTCTGTGGAAACTACAGACGGTGGCGTTGCTAACGTGGCGCGGTTTGATTGAATTTACATAACCGCGCGATTTAAGCGCAACCACCATTTGCACGCGTCAAACACCCGTGGGATGGCACCCGGTTGGACCGGCGAAGGAGCCTTACCGAAGTAAGAGTTTGCATGTCACAGCATGTGAGACAATCGCCCGCACGCATTAGCGTGGAATATCTCAGCGTTAGAGACACTCGTCGGCGTGCGCGTACTTAGTGTGTCGCAAACGCTGACACAGTCGTCCTGAATGAGTTAATAGCTATTGTGCACCATGAAAGGCATAAATGATGCCAAATGTACATTATGTTCGCTCTCCAATATAAAAGTGGGGAGAACTATGCTAATGAGCTTGTAAAAAACAGGAAAAATGGGGGAGCATTTAGCAACGCTATCGGAAAAAATGACTAGAGTATTATGCATACCACTTTCTCTTCTTCAAGTCCATCCTTCCAGAACAACATATAGGGTGTGACACCATCCTCCCTGTAGTTCAACAGTGCTACCATTCCTTCACCATGGATCGACTCTCCCAAGAAAAACTCCCAATCCTTAAAACATGAAAGTATCTTTCCTGCCTGTTCATTTGCAGCTGATTTAAACTTGTCTACTCTGTCAGGGTTAACTTTTTCCAAATGTTCCACAATCCTTTTCACATAGGCCTGTGAGTAAAATAAATGGGAAGGAAGCGACTGCATTTTTTGCACAAAAATGCTTGTGTTATGTTCTGTGCAAAAGGTAAGAACACACTCTGTATTGTTCCTTTACTATGGAACGATATGATGTCAATCATAAAAAAAACACCGTAGTTGGATAGTTGGTACAGTACAAAATATGATGATATCCAAGTACAAACTATCCACCTCCACGCAGTGAACTGCATCAACGAAGTACAAAATACATAAGTACAACATGAAGCAAACAATGCAGGAAAAAACCCTGCAGTGCAGTAAGCACGTTCGTAGGTGTACTCGGTAGTGTACGTGGAGTCACTTGCAAAACCATGGTTGGCACCACTCTGTGATCTCATTTTTTAAACACCAAGACGGGTACAAAATGGGTCGAGTGCTAGAAAGATCGAAGCTGAGAGAGAAAGATGAAGAATGTCGATAGCGGAAGATGGTGGTGCGCCTCAAGTGGAGTGGGAATCGCTCCCTCAAGTACTACGGGAGGGTAGATGTCCCCGTCCGGTGTGTGCTGTAGGTGGACTCACGGTAAGAGTGTGCGGGTGCTACTTGACTGTGGAGTGGGAGAGCAGGTGTAGAGGGGATTGGTGGTAGAAGAGAAGAAGCTGCCGAGTAATGTTGCAGCTCGCCTTCCCGGAGAAGCGAGCTGCACACTCAGTGGACCAGGTAAGTATGTCTTCTCTTGCTGTTCTTTGACTCTGTTGCTTCCGTGTGCATGTTCACATAGCAACGTAGAAAAGGTGTATTGGATGCTGCAGACATATCAGGCATGGCCGCGACTACTTTTCGCAACGTGTATTCTGCGGCGCACGCCCTAAAATCGGGGTGGGGTGTAGCATACCGCTGAATCTCTACGGCCGCAAAACAACTGCGTAGGTAAAGCACGATGCCACTCCTACCACCATGCATGCAACTCATCCCTCTCCCCCATTTAGTATCTGGCAAGCACAAGTAGTACAATATCACGTGTGCTCCTGTGTACACAAGCCTATGAGCAGGGTTTATGGTTGTCCAGTATATGCGCTAGTGTGTATTACGACACATATCCCTACAGACTCCGCCAACAGTCCCCACAACTCACCCCCTACATCCTGTCCTCCATTCCAAGTTCCATCAAATAGCACCTACCAATCACAGGTAAAACTTGCGCGTCACACAGAACACAACAGCCAAAATTGCCATAGCTTATAAAACATACACAACTTGTATCTTCCTGATAGGCTAAACTAAACAAACTGTAGTTGTGCCTGAACTATTACAACACATATCCCTACAGGCAGTCTCCACACAGCAGGAGGGACAGCAGGAGAGACATCTGGAGAGAGAGAATTATCCACTATTGCTTTGTCCATTGGTTTGTCCATTGATCGCTGTACCTGTGCCAGAGTGTAATACCACACATATCCCTACAGGCTCAGTGAACAGCCTCCACACAGCAGGAGGGACAGCAGGAGAGACATCTGGAGAGGGAAAATGATCCACCATTGGTTTGTCCATTGGTCGCTGCACCTGCGCTAGTTTGTAATACCACACATATTGGCTTTTTTGCTTGTTTTCACGGCATATCTCTCGAACGCAGTCGTTTCAGGAAAATCGCCCTTTTAGTTTTCAGGCTTGCGTAGTTCTGAAGTCGCTGGTATAGCTAATAGGCCGCCTCGTAGCCTGTAGTGTCAGAATAAGCGTCGACACACACACAGACAGACACACAGACAAAGCAACTACTGTAACCCTCGCTGTGCATGCGCGCCGAGGATTAACTACACAACTTGTTTCTTCCTGATAGGCGACTTGTTGTTCTGTTATTTTGGTACGTATATAACGCGTCAGTCAACCGTAGGCACCCTCGACAACACGAAATTGTTATTAGTAAAAGATGCAATATTGTCCAAATTCCCAACAAGATGAAGGCAGGACAAAGAAGCCTGGAGAGGTGTAAGAATGCCATTGGCCAAAAATGCAAATCACCTACGCTACGGGAAGTGAGGGAAAGTGAGGGCTTCCTAGGACGATCTGTGATCAAACCACACACCTGAGCAATATCCCTTTATCCATCTGCGCATTCACTACACTGGTCTTTATTCATTATTCTTTTATGCCAATGACCAAGCTGCATGCATTGCATCAATGACACAATGCAGTTGTGGTAGGCAGGTGGTGAATCTTTGCCACAGTAGTATGTAATCAAAGCAGAACAATAATGTAGTGAAATGAAATGCACTAAAGTGCAAACCCTCGAGAACTGCGCGTGTGCGGTACAGCTATTGATGGGTTGGGCTATTAGTATGCGTCTACTCGTGGTCTCCTGCTAGTACTTTGCAGAGAGTCTGACACTGGCTGCTGCAGTAGATAGCACGCGGGAGTCGATGTTGTGACTTATTGTGCCTTCAAGATACACAGAGCAAGTGGACCCGCTTCACGCCATAAACCTCCCGAACGCAACAGTTCTGAGAAAACCCCACATATTTTTCGACCTTTATCCAACGCTGAATATATGGTATTGAGCGATTCATGGCTCGTGAAGTGAGATGTGGAGTAGCAGACACACACATACACACGACAACTACGGTAAGCTTTGCTGCGCATGCGCGCCGAGGGTTAACAAGCGTACAGAAAGGTGCTTCTGATATAGAAACTAGTATCCTGTAGCATCTCCATCTAATTTTATGATCTGAGGAATAACCTTATGCAAGTGGTTATTTCAGAGGGCTTTTGTACAACCGAAAGACAAGCATTAGACCTTGAAGACGTAGAGGTTGATTTCCGTCTCTCTGTACTAAAACGATACAGGCTCAATAGTACCTCTACAAAAGGTGCAGAAGTGATTATGAAGGGATGTAAGAAATCTGGGATCCTGGGGCGGGTCCGACGGCGTTTATATATACGCTTCCCGCGTTGAAACGGTTAAGGCAGATCATGTCACCATAACAAACCATGCACTGTCACTGGCATCTACTTCATCGATGTATAATTCGCATTGTTAAATTCAATTGTGTGGCTTTGATAAAAAAATGTCCTCTTTGGATATTATGTGCAATTTTTAATTGTGCGGTTGATGTAGTTGTCCTTCTTAATGTGACAGCTGTACCCACTACTGGCTGCATAACATGGATGGTAAGCAGCAGCCTGGGTAATTTAATTTTAACACATCAGCAAGAGCAATTAGCCTCCTTCTTCCCTCTCACACTTCATCTTCACTCTTGGGTACTAGAAATGAAGAACTGAACATCTAACTCAAAAGAGGATGTGCACATGAATGCGCGTGACAATGCATGAGATACCTAATTAGTGCACACTTAAATTGTGGGACTGTGCGGGACTATACAAATACACGCACAGCTAAATATGAGGGTCAGCAAAACCGCAACAAAGAAAAGCACTTGAAAGTCCATAACCCTCGCAACAGTTCATTTGGAGTTTCAATAGTTGTCTGTCTAAGAGAGATCAGAGACAGCCGTCCAGCTTCCCCGGCCTTCTCCGCTCCAGAATCCTAGCGATAACATGTCCACGTTTCACGCTCAGAGTTGTTGCAGAGCAGTTACCGAGAAAAATGGTGGACAGACGGACGGATGGACACACGCACACACACACACACTTAAGAGCATGGGAAGTTTTGATTGTAATAGACATAACGTCCACAAGAAGGTATAAAACAGCCAAGCGTGCCTGTAGTAGCTCAATTAGGAGCAAGAGTGAAGAAAGAAGTGAAGAACAGAGAGGACCAAACAAATGAAGCAAGTCAATAGCTAAAGTTGCTGTTATGTAACTTAGGTTAGTTTGTAAGTACAATAATTGAAGGGGTAAGAGCCAGAGTGAGCCAACCCTCGATATACAACTCTTGCCGGTTTTCCTTCAAATATGGGAGGATCTACATTTCCGCCAAAATCCAAACGCGCCTATCACAAATTAACCGCATACACGCGTAAAGAGTTCCTTGCACTAAAGTGGTCTACAGACGATTACCATGTCAGCGAGTGCCGTTGCCACTATTAGTTCAAGCTCAAGTGAAGAGGACGAGAGAAGCGAGAGTAACTAGCCTGTCTGAGGCCAGTTAAAGTGATGAGGCCGATGCCACTCCCCCCGCTGTTTCTACTTTACCGACGCGGAGCTTTTTGTTCATGCTTTTTAACAACAAACCAGTTTTTAACCATTTCCGAACCTGTTTCGAACCCGTTTCGCTGAAAGCGGAGAGCTAGAGACAGCAATGGTGGACAGCAACTCAGGCACCGCTGAGCCCGAGCCACCGCCGAAAAGCTCAGGCTTTCTCTAGGGTCACGATTTAAAGAACCGAAGAGCTTGCTGGAAATGGAAGAGATATCTAAAGTTTATGTTCCACCGACTACCACGAAGAATACGGTGTGGGCTGTAAAAGTGTTTCTAGATTAGCGGGAGGTAAGAATGGAGAGAGAAAAGTGAAGGGTGCCCAGCAAACTTACTTCAGGCTGCTGATCCTGTCCAGCTCAGTTTCTGGCTTTCTAGGTTTGTTGCGGAAGTACGAAAGCAAAGTGGAAAGCCTTACCCCCCCACGCTCTATCCAAATTATACTCTCTGGCCTTCAACGGAAGATGTTGGACCAGGTTCATGGACCAGAGCGTAACCGTCTTTCGCGACCTCTATCGTACCTGCGATTCTGTCTACCGTGAGTTACACAAGCAAGGGATTGGGGCGTCCGTTCGTCATACTGCTATATTTTCAGCTGAAGAAGAAACAAAATTGTGGAAAGCAGGAGTTCTTGCGATTGGTAACCCTAAAGCACTACACAGCTTGACCTGGACAATTCCTACACAATTTTGGACTTCATTTCCTGTATATTGTTATCACTTTGTGGTTATACTGAATAAACTGTGGGCGGCGTCTTTGAAAATACGCGCAACCGTGGTATAAGCGCATATATTCATTATTTTTGCACCATAGGTAACTCCAAAGCGTTCATCAAGGACGTCCTGTGGTTGTGCAAGGCGATGGATGTTTCAATAGAA